TAAGATTTTATTTATTTGACAGAGAGAGACACAGTGAGAGAGGGAACACAAGCAGGGGGAGTGGGAGAGGGAGAAGCAGACTTCCCGCTGAGCAGGGAGCCCGATGCGGGGCTCGATCCCAGGACTCCGGGACCACGACCCGAGCCGAAGGCAGACGCCCAACGACGGAGCCAACCAGGCACCCCTCATACAAAATTATTGTAACATAATGGATTGCATGATACTGAAACTCATATATATGCTATTGAACCTAATTCTTAGTATATTCCATAGATGATGGAGCAGTATTTATTGTCTTTCTGTGCTCAGAAAGGAACTTTGAAAGTGGGCCCATTCATACCATCACAAGTCTATAAGCTAATCACTAAAGCCTAATGAGTGTCCCTTAAATTAAAAAATATATAATTAGTCTTTAGAGGTTGTCCAGACTCGAGTTCCCAAACCCAACAGATCATCAAAAACAGACTTCTTGGACCACATCCCATGCATTCCAGACCAGACAGAGGAAAGGAATCTTTTTTAATACAACCTAGCTTTGTAACTACAGGCAGGTTACTAGCCCCAATTTCTCTATGTAAACTGGGTAGAGAGTAAACCCTGTAGGGTAGAGTCTGCGGGACTCTATGTCTTCAGGACATAAATAGAAATGGCATTAATTCATCCTAACTCAGAGTCCATGCCAGTATTCACCTGTTACAACTGGAATCCATGCATGACTGTCCCGATCTCAGTTGAAACACCATCACTTACATGTCAGAATGCAGAATCTCAATTCTCATTGCATATTTAAGGATTACCATTTGATTCTTCTGTTAAAATTCTGACTAAATGTATTTTTTAAATTAATTTTACTGTGGCTCAGAGAATATATAATTAATTATATAAAGAAAATGATATCTATGCATGAGCATTTCCAAAGATTTATATAGCTTTTCTAGGAGGTGATGTGGCCCCTTTAACAATCTTTAAGTAAAGGTTTGTATTGCTTTATAAGTTTCTGAAGCCTGACTTCCTGCTGTCCCTTTGAGCCTACAACATATCCTTTTTTGTTAATGAATATCACACTGTATTGCACCCAAAAATGTTTAATAGTCAGCTTTTATTAGAGTGCAATATTCTCCTTGTGGCAGTTCATAGATGTAACTTGAGGGAGTTGTTTTGTTCTTACCTTCTTTACCTGTTGGCCTTTTCCTAGGTGCACTGTTGCTGAAGTACTATGAGCTTTCAGAACTTCTGGAGAAACTACAAAGTTCTGATTGTTATGGTACCTTTAGTTGGGTTCATACATTTGGGATGGCACAGAATCAAGAGCAGCCCTGTTTTCCAAATGCCTAATAAGGACAATGTTTCTGCACCAGATAGTCCAGCACTTGAATGTCCTGAGAAGAATCACATCGAAGGGAAATAGGCTTGGAATCTTCAGGTAAGTTCAGTTTAATCTGGTTAACCAAATGGTATGTTACAACAATGGGAAATACAATCTTTAAAAAAGTATAGGGGCACCTGGGTGGCTCAGTCGATTAAGCATCTGCCTTCAGCTCAGGTCGTGATCCCAGCATCCTGGGGCTGAGTCCCGCATTAGGCTCCTTGCTCAGCCGGGAGCCTGCTTCTTACTCAGCCTGTTGCTCCCCCTGCTTGTGCTTGCGCACGCTCTCTCTCTCTGACAAATAAATAAATAAATAAAATCTTTTTTAAAAAAATTAAAAATTAGAGCTCTGGCAAGAAAAAGCTGAAGTTGGTAAGTTACCTGTTGTTTTTATTATGACCCACTGACACAATATTATTCTGCAGTTACTTCTAGAAAAGTTTGTTCTATAGAGACTTTTGACAGCTGCCTCGCAGAGTCATTTGGATGAAAGGAGGATAGTCTATTACTTGTCCAGTCCTTTTCATTAACAATGTCACCAGGATCATGAGTGTGTCCAAAAGAGCAGTTGTCTACCTGCTATAAATCCATCCCAGAGCATACAAGTCTATAACTTGCAAAAGTTCTCTCTTTTGTTATTATTGTTCTGTTTCTTTCCAAGGCAAATAAAACTAATTGTATTCCATTTTTAGTATCTAATTTTTTAAAATTTTATTTATTTATTTGAGACAGCGAGCATAAGCGGGGGAGGTGCAGAGAGAGAATCCTCCAGCAGACTCCCCACTGAGCGAGGAGCCCAATGCAGGGTGCAATCCCAGGACCCCAGGATCATGACCTGAGCTGAAGACAGACGCAACCGACTGAGCCACCCAGGCGCCCCTAGTATCTAATATTTTACCTTCAAAATAATTTGTTACTTTTGAGAGTCACTGAAATAAGAGAATATAGTTACATAATTCAGGATTATAATCCCTTAACTATAATTCCAAAATCCAAAAGTTCCAAAATCCAAAAGATTTTGTCATAACTCCTTTGGTAGCAAAACTTGACCTCAATACATGAGGCAGTTTGCAGTCTATTCCACTCAATATGAATATTTAGTTTCACTGCAGAAATACTGTTGTGTTTGATCAATGGGTGCTAAACGCTATACTATTTTTCTAAAATCCCAGAAATTCTGAATTATGAAACTCATCTGCCCCCAGACAGAGAACTGTGAACCTATAATTGTGGAGCATTTTCTACCTTAATATACCATTTTGACCTTGTGGTGAGTAATAATATGCTTTAAATTTTGGCATAAGGTAGGTCAGTTTAGGGCCTGCTTCTTACAGAAAGAAGACCTCAGTAAGATTTTCCTCATTCTTAAGAGGTCTATGATTTTGATTTATGATAAAATTATAATTTCTTATTACACTATTTTAAATCAAGATTTTATTTTTAAATGCTCTTAAAGAGAAAGGGAAGAGCATGGCTTAAAGTATTAGACAATTATTTAATAATAAAAAGCCAGATAGTAAAATATCAGAACCTTAATAACGTAAAAGAGTAACCCTAAGACATTCTGTGTAAGATTTGTGTTCATAAAGGGAGTTTTAGTGCACATGAGCAGAGAGTTAAGGAGTTTATTAGATGCTTGATTTTAGCTTTTCTAGACTGTAATGAGATCATTAGAGAGAGTGGGGGTGTGTGTGTGTGTAGAGAGAGGAAGAGAGAATACATATATAGTGTGATATAGTGTGTGGGTATATTATTTATGACATCATTTTTTTCCTTTAATTCTTCTCATAAGAGTTTGGGGCCCTGCTACAGCCAAACTTTGAAAAAAAAAAAAAGGAAGTAGTTTCTCCTTCTGTGAAAAGGAATATTATTGAGGTATTCCTAGAGAAAAAGTAAAGTTGAGAAAAGAAAGCATCTTTCTAAAACACTAAGGTAAAAATAGAGATTTTGGATGTCAGTGCTGCAGTATTTAGAAGTCTTAAGTGACCAACACTGCCAATCAAGCAAGCAGAAACAGATATTAGAACAACTTTGGGGTGAGCAAATGTTAAAACCAGATTTAGAGTGAGTTAAACACTGATTCTATCAAAAGAATGTACTGTTATTTGTCCCTTATTATTTTTTTAATTTTTACTTTTTTTAAAGCTTTATTTATTTATTTTGGAGAGAGAGGGTGCAAGCAGGGGGAGAGGGAGACAAGCAGACTCCCTGCTGATCATGGAGCCCAACGCGGGGCTCAATCTCAGGACCCTGAGATCATGGCCTGAGCTGAAATCAAGACAGATGCTTAACCAACTGAGCCACCCCATAATTTTTACTTTTTATTATGGAAAATTGCAAACATACCCCAAAATAAAGAGAGGAGAGTATATTCAACTCTCTAGTATCCATCACCCAGCTTTAACACTTAACAACATTTTGCCCATCTTCTTTTATCTATCCTTCTGTCTCCACCCCCTTTTTGATTACTGCAGTATTTTAAAGCAAATCCCAGGCTTCAATGTGTATTTTTAACATTAAGGATAAATACACACACAATCACAAGTGATTATCACACTGAAAAAACTAATGGTAACTCCTATCATTGGATACCCAGGGCCATGTTCATATTTCCAAATTTATCTTTTAAAAAAATCTCCTTTAGAGGTGCTTTGTTGGAATTGGAATCCAAACAAGGTCCACACGTTGCATTTTAAAGATACATCTTTTCAACCACTACATTTCCCCTCCCAGTCTGCTTCTTTTTGAATGTCCCACATTCTGAATTTGGTTGATTGAATCCTTATTTTGTCATTTAACAAGTTTCTTGCTCTCCCATATCTCCTGTAATCTGGTAGTTAGATCAGAAGGCCTGCTTTGATTTACTTTTTTTTCTTCTTGAAAAAGAATACTTCATGTATGTGCTATGGTATACATCCTAGTGAATCACATTGTTTCACATTTAATGTCTGATCCACTTTCAGTGTTGCTAAGATTTAAGTGCATTATCAGTCTGATCTCTCCATTATAAAATCTGTTATGAAATTTATTTATGATTGGGCACCTGGGTGGTTCAGTCAGTTAAGCGTCTGACTCTCGATTTCTGCTCAGGTCATGATCTCAGGTTTGTGGGATTGAGCCCTGTGACAGGTTCCGTCATGGGCATGGAGCCTGCTTGGGATTCTCTCTCTCTCTCCCTCTCCCTTCACCCCTACACACTCTAAAAAAATTATTTATGATCGTTGTTCTAATCTAGGCATTGGAAACTTTTTTTCTATAAATGACCAGATAGTAAATATTTTAGGCTTTGCAGACCATACAGTCTCTTATTTCAACTACTCAACTTTCTGTTGTAGCACAGAAGCATTCATACATGATACATGAGCATGAGCCAATAAGACTTTATTTACAAAAATAGGTGGTGGGCAAGATGTGGCCCATGGACTGTAATTTGCCAACCACCATGAAGGTCTAATCCATTATTTCCTTAGGGGTTGCAAAATGATGCTGTTCAAATTCTATCATTCCTTCTCCATTTATGAGCTAGAACAACTTCCCCTCATCAGCTATTCAGTTACCCCTCAAAATGCATTTATCAGGAAAAGCAAGAAAACTGCTTTATTTCCTCTATCAGTTTTTATAAAAGTGAGTTAGTGCCCTAATAGCAATGAGGGTTTTTGGGTTTGATGACAATATGAATTCATGAGTTTGCAAATTATTTGAGTTATTTCAAGGTATTACTATCAGTATTCTTTTTAAGACTCAAATTGTACCATCTTGGATGCCCTCCAAGTTGACTTCTGTGCTGTTTTTTTCCTGTGCTCTTTGATATGACCCAAGTATATTTTTTGGCAAAAAAAGTCCTCAGCTCATCTTGTGTATTTCTTGCCTCAGACCTAGAATCAGCCATTTCTCCAAGGAAACCTGGTTCCTTTTAGGAGAAAATTATGGTTTATAGTTTTTAAAATCATAATTTATAGTGTGTGTCTAAATTTAGAATACAGTCATGTAAGTTTTACTAATATTTTAATTAGGTTATCCATTACTGCAAAAGCCCGTCTGCCAGGCCTATGCATCCAGGAAGTCAGAGTCGTTCATGTGATGGTAGCCTTTGGAACTGTGGGTCACAGTGTTAGGAAAAAAGAGTCTTAACAGATCTAAACTGGCACTTCCAAACATATTCTGTAAGCCAGCCCAGTGTTTGGTTCATTTCTTTTCTTTCAATTGTACCTTGTTTTGTCCGGATCTATACCCACAAGTTGGCAAGTTTTGACATCCTAAAAATGATTTGGGAGTCACCAACACTTTCAATGATTTCTCCCTTTCTCATTTTATAGAGATACTAGCCAAAAGATGTAGTTACTGGTCTCACCACCACAAGACTGTTAGAGGTGCCAACTTAACATTCCACCTTTGAAAAGTTGCATGTCACTGTTAGGTATTGAAAATGCTTTTTTTTTTTTTTTTTAACTGGAGAAATCATCTTCTTGATCACAGTTTGTTATGATTTGTGGTTTGTGTGGTTGTGTGCTGTAACATGTAAAATAATGTATGGAAGTCACTTCACTAAGATTTCATTTAAGTGTATGTCACAGATTTTCCTGAATCTAAAATAACCATTGAAATAATATTTAAGTACCTTGGCTGTTCCTGGCATAAGATGAAAGATTTTTTTCCTCGTCCTATAAAAAAAAGATGACTATAGCTTTATTGCAGAGAGAAAACTAGTCATCATTGCCTTCCCTTTATTTGGGCCCAGTTGCCATGGTTACAGTCCTTTAAATGGGGAGGAGTGGTAACCAAAATAACGCTTCGAATAACATTCCCTCCCTCTCTTCACCTCTTCTTTGCACTTCTTCCATCACGTTTTTGGTCTGTATCACACTGTGCCATAGTCTACTTCAGTTAGTACTATGGTCTGGTAGTCCACTTAGTTTTATTTGTGCTGAATACTGTCCAAGTAATTAGCATAATTACCATATCCCTAAAAATAATAATTGGCTGAACCTTCACCTTCAAAGCACCTAACCTCAACAGATAAGGTCCATGACCTGAGATTTTTTATTTTTTCCACACATTACTAAAGTGTCAGGATTTTATGCCCCAAGGCACACTATTTATTTACAACCTTGTTAAGAAAGCTAGTAGGAGAGCACATGTTACATTTTATGGTATTTAGACCTTTTGAGATCGAATTGCAAATCAGATCCTATTTTTCTCTTTGTCAAATAGCATATCCCCTGGTTTTTGTATTTACTGTCATTAACCAAAGTCTTGGAGAGGATTCAGTTGTAGGACATTAAAACTGACAATCGTTGATTGATAGAATAAAACTATAGAAAATTACATTGAAGTTAGCCAAACATTGAAAACATGGTTTATTCTTTGGGACAATGTGCTATGCAGATTTATACAGCTAGAGATGGCCTATACAATACAGAGTGTGTCTATAGTAGGGAGACTGACAGTTCTCTTATTTTATAATTATTTTTAAGCAGGATTTGATGTACACGTATCTTTGTTCAGATCTACGCTTTCCAAGTAAACCAAAGTTACAGAAGAAAACATAACATTAAATCTTGATGTAAGAGAATAAAAACATTTGGGATTTTTTTTTTAAGACTCAGCATTTTATAATGAGTTTTATAATGTAGCATTTCTTTTCTAGAAGCATATCGTATTCAAATAATTGTACTGTAAGCTTTCTAGCTATGTTGTTCTGCATTCCAAAATCATTCAAATATCAGTACTTTTTCTTGGAGGGATTCACTGAAGAATAAAGGAATGACTGTTTAGTCTGAGTGGATTTACATTTCTCATTTTGTGGAGGCTTGTGCCAGTTGGTAATTCCTTTTCCTAAAGAGGGAGCAGAGCATCAAAATATTAAGCTGCATTCTATTAAATGTTTTAGACTTATTTCTCTAAAATGTTTTTCCTTTATTTCTTATAGAAAGAAGCATCTTTGAGTCTGAGCTTGATATTGAAAGAAGAGATGAAAAACACCAGCTGGATTAGAAAGAACTGGCTTCTTGTAGCTGGGGTGTCTTTCGTAGGTGTCCATCTTGGAACATACTTTATACAGAAGGCTGCAAAACAATCTATAAAATCTCAACCTAGAGGCAAACAAGAGTACTGAAGAATGAAATAAAAATAAATATTTGGAATTACTAATATGTCACTAAGTCATTACATGCTAGTTATCTTCATAAGCCTGGAGCTATTTAATTTTAAAGCCACCGTGCTGCATATTCAAGACTTTCATTCTTGAAGGATAATTTTTTTCTCTAAATGTCAAGACCCATGACAATGAAATAAATAGAAAAATATGTCTAACAAAATAAAAACTGTCTTCACCACTTGCCACCGGAAGTAAGATGTCTCGTTTAGAAGCTAAAAAGTCGTCATTGTGTAAAAGTGAACCACTGACAAGTGAGAGAGTCAGGGCCACACTTTGTATCTTGAAAGGAGTCCTGACATCCAGCTATGGCCCTTCGGGGAGGCTGAAGCAGATGCACAACGGGCTTGGAGGCTGTGTGCGCACCACCTCACATTCGTCGGCCCTGCTCTCCAGCCTTCCCGTCACCCACCCCATTTTAAAGATCCTGATGACATCCGTGCAGAATCATGTGTCATGTTTCAGTGACTGTGGCTTATTCACGGCCATTCTTTGCTGCAATCTGATTGAAAATCTTCAGAGAACAGGCTTGACACCAACCACTGTTATTAAATTAAACCAGCACCTTTTACGCCTCTGCACCAGTTACCTCAAGTCTGAGTCCTGTGGTTGTCGAATTCTAGTTGACTTTAGCAGGCCTCAGACCCTCCTTTGTTTGGTGCGCAGTATAGTAACAAGTAAACCCGCTGGTATGCTCACCAGAGAGGAAACAGACCACATCAGTGCTTTGGTTCTGAGAGCCTTTTTGCTTACAATTCCAGACAACGCCAAAGACTGCCTCCTTTTAGGAAAGAGTATAATTGTGCCTTTAAAAGGTCAAAGAGTTCTAGATTCTTCTGTATTCCCTGGAATACTTATTGAAATGTCAGAAGTTCAACTGATGAAGATCTTACCTATCAAAAAATCAGATGCCTTCAAGGTGGCACTCTTTTGTGCTTCTTTATCTGGAGATCTCTCTGATACTGGAGAAGGAACTGTGGTGGTCAGTTCCGGGGTCTCTCTTGAAAATGCAGCCCTGGAGCAGTTGCTTAACCTAGGAAGGCAGCTAGTTGGTGATCACGTAGATCTTGTCATGTGCCAAAAAGTTATACACCCATCTTTAAAACAGTTTCTCAGTATGCACCGTGTAATTGCTGTAGACAGAGTTGGAGTGGCTCTGATGGAACCCCTGAGTAAAGTGACAGGTAAAAAGCACCTTCAGCTTTTGCCCCTTACAGTTAATAATCACACTCTTTTTTTGAGTGGACATTCTTGGTGTGCGTCACTGTTAACATCTTGAAAAATTTTAGAAGCTGCCAACCTTGCAGCATGTGTATCATTTCTGCCAGCAAAGGTGGCTTCTAAGAAACACCCTGTACTGTTCGTTTCCTAAAACTTGAGTGATTATGGCAATTTCTGTGTATTTTCCAGCCCCAGAAAAGACTAGGGTCTATTATAATCTAAAACCATTAACCCCCCAAACATCTTAGAGTACTGAGAAGTTTAACAGCCTCATAATCCTAAGGTGTTTCATACTTTACACAAAATTCTTCTACTTGAATTTTACAAGTAGAAATCACATTATATTCAGAAGATAATTTTGCAGCTAAAATTTTCTTCACTTCTCTACTTCTTCACTACTGTACTGCCTAAATAGTAATTCCTAATTAGGGGTGGGCAGGTGGGTGAATGTGTGCAGGCACACATGCACACTACCTTTAAATATCCCAGATATTTCCAGCTGAGCTCCTTGAGAATCAGGATTATCTTTTATATTTAGCACTGACAACAGGCCTGGTCCACAGTAGGTGTTCTAAAATGTTTGTTGAACTGACTAATATTTGGTAAGATACAGAATTGCAACAGGCAAGAAATTCACTGTATTTTACAAATTAAAATCAGACATAAGGCTGATATTCACCTATTACAGCCAAAGAAACATGACAATGTAAAGAGTTCATGATTTGAGCCACTTTCAGTATCTTTTTAATTGCATTGACAACATAGCAGTCATTCTATTCCGATTGATTGCAACATTTATCAGACTTAAGCCATTGTTAAAGTTCACTATTTTTAGTGTTGTTATAAATCATCAAAAAGTAGTAGTACATATGCCAGTATTGAATACCTAATATCTGGGTTATTGCCCTGTCTCTATGTCCCATGATTGTCAAAGTGGAAATTATTATGAAATAATGAAATAGTTCCATGGACCTCTTGTGGTTGATGTTCTGGATCAGACCCATAGTTTTAAATACTTACTGGTTTTTCATGACTTTTCCAGTTGTGAATATTTGGGTATTACAGATTATTTAGTTTTTAAAATGTGAAATAGAAGGTTGCTGCCTGTGTTCTCCTTTAGGGTTTTGATGGACTCCTGTCTCACATTGAGGTCTTTCAACCATTTGGAGTCTATTTTTGTGTGTGGTGT